AGCAACACTACCTGCTTCAGTTGCTTTCACGTTGACCTCTTTCATGCTAATCCTTTGGACTCAACGATTTGTCAAAGCATGTTATGTCATTTTACCACTTTAAGCAGCAGTGGTAGTAGAATCAGATTCTTGTATGAGAGCAGATCAATAGCAGTTGCAAAGAGCATTCCCAAATAATCACCAATGAAAGAATTCTGCAGATTGGTAGATACTATATTCAGTAGCTTCCACTGTTTTTTATGATAATTTATTTAGTCTATCATTTAATGCACTCTTATGATAAGCAATGAAACATTGGATTACTCTGTAAAATGCTGACTATTCGCCTCTTTACAGTAGAAATGGCAGGTGGGTTTTCACACCCAGTTCACGAAGAAGATCCAGAGCATCTCTAAATCGTCTTTCCACAACATTCATGCCATGTGGTCGGATCTAAGTTCAAATATTTTCACCATCATTTGGATACGGAACAAAGATCAACAAAAACCACTGTGAATAGAATAAGCACTGGTTTAACAGGTGGCTACTGTATGTGCACATTTTGACTTCATCTCTGAAATACATTGTTGGCACTTTTCTGTGTATACACCTATGCACATTCTAAACTAGGAGGACAACATTATATTTCCCTTCCCTTTTTCCAAATGATTCCATGCAAGAGAATGGGTATGGTTAGGTGTAAGTTCTTTGAAGATTATATATCTGATTCCAGATTCAGGGAAACAAAATCGCTCAATAAAGCAAAATGAGCCGAGTTTATTGCTTTCTTTACAGCAAAAGTATTTTTAAACCCAGAGTTGTAGAAAAGTTTGTTGGATAACAGATATATAGTGTATTGCAAAAGTATTCACCCCCTGCTGATAATGCTACATTTTGATCAAATTGAAAATAATATAACCAATTTTTTAATGAAATTGTTTTTATTCAAAACTCTAATAACCAGACCTAACACTGCTACGTGTGAAGAAGGTTGAATGTCAGCAAAATCTGCAAGGAGAATATATAAATGGAAATTCGTTGATTACATAAGTATTCAGTCCCATAAGTCAGTACTTGGTGGAAGCACTTTTGCCAGATATTACTGCTGTGAGACTTTTTGGATAGGTCTCTACCAGCTTTACATAATGGGATGGTGTAGGTTTTGCACATTTTTCCTGCCAAAATAACTCCAATCCTGACAAGTTCATTGGGGATCGTTGATGGACTGCAATCTTCAAGTCTTATATTTTGGATTCAAGTCTGGACTTTGACTTGGCCACTCCAGGATATTCACTTTCTTCTTTTGAAGAAAGCCCAAATCACTATCCTGCTGAAGTGTGAATTTTCAACCCAGTTTTAGATTATTGGCTGGCTTAAGCAGGTTTTCCTCTAGGATTCGCCTGTACTTTGTACAAGCTTCCCAATCCCTACTGATGAAAATCATACCAATAACATGATGCTGCCACCACCTTGCTTGACAGTTGTGAAGATGTTGACTTGGTGATATGTTGGGCTTGCACCAGATGTAACGCATTGATTTAGACCAAAATCTCAATTTCTGTCTTGTCCGACCACAAAACCATCTGCAACATGTCTGCAGTATCATTTACGTGCTTTGTCGCAAACTCCATACGAGATTTAAGATGATTATTTTCCAGTGATGGCTTCTTTCTTGACACTTGCCCATACAGATCAGCTTTGTGTAGAGAGCTGGCTATTGTCAATGTATGAACATTGACTCTCATCTCAGATATGGAACTTTGTAAATCTTTCAAAGTCATTGTTGGCTTCACAGTGGCATCCCTAACCAATTTCCTTCTTGCCCAGCTGCTTAGTTTGTAAGGGTGACATGATCTGGGTAGTGACTAGGTGGTATGAAGCACATTCCACTTCTTAATGATGGACTTCACCGTACGCAAAGGGATAATCAGTGACTTTAAAATTTTCTTGTAAACCTTGTGATCAGTGCTTCACTACTTCTTTATTCCTGACTTGTTTGGAAAACTCATTGGTCTTCATGGTTGGTTTGTCGTATCACTTGAAAAGATATATTTACTCTGATACATTTACATTTACACACAGAGACCATTCCACTAATTTTGTGACCATTCATACTGTTACGACAGCGGAAATTGCGTGACGCTGGGAGCATTGCGCGCTGGAGTTTCTCGAAGTATCGAGGAACCCTGAGAAATGTCCGCCAGCGGGATTGAAGATATAGATAATTGAGTCAAGCAAACAGTAGGCACGGTAAGTAAAATGTGTGAATCACTGTGATTTATAGCGTGTGTTATAAAAGTAGCTAAGTTTAACGTACTGATTAGGAAATTCTGTGTATTACAAAGTTATATGGAG